ACAACAACAACAACAACAACAACAACAACAACAACAACAACAACAACAACAACAACAACAACAACAACAACAATTATTACTAAAGAACACATACAACTCTAACCTCAAAGACCTTGCAAACATCCCCCCTCTGATGTGCCAGAAAAACCTCTAACCCTCTCGAACCTCAGTCATGTCGGGAGAATCCCTGGCAGATGCCGATCTGATCGTCGGACTCGATCGGACTCGTGGCCCAACGAAGGATGGTACCACATTGGCTTACAAGATTTCTGGGGTTGAACGGCGGTAGTATGTCAAATTATGTTTGACAAAGCATCTCAAATACTAAAAAAAATATCAGATGAATATGATATCAGAATATTACAGTAAAAAAGACAACCCAACATGCATCTGAATATTTGTCTAACATTGTACAACTATAGTCTAAAAATGTCTAAAATATCACAGACTCGGCTACACCTGGCCCGGAAACTTCTTCTCATCCGCCTTCACGCGAATTGTAATCGTCACTTCCTTTGTGGCGTGGGAGGTGAACTGTTGCAGGTCTGACCATGGTGGTTTTGCCGTGGGGTTACTGGAAAGGATTAGACGAACCCAGATGGCCAGCATTCCTTCTGCTGGTGCCACGGGTGTCTGCCTTTCAGGTCATAACCTGTTTAAGGCGTCCTAAACAAAGACATATCCTCTGAATATGATCAAAATCACATGCCCGGATGCCCTCGTACCCTGTTGAAACTCGTTTCACGGATCAAATTGATTCACAAAGCAAGACAGCAAGTTCTGAGGTTAGAGTCATCCTCCTGAAGCAAGATCGTGTGATTGGGTGCTGCTTTGGGCATGGGATAGGAGCCGTTGGCCCTCCAGCGCTCAGGATGCTCACCATGAGGGCCGTAGGGAGAGGAGGTGATGGTGTTGCCCACACCCCAGCGCTTGCGATCCACAATCGTGTTGTAGTTCCACAACAAATCCTTAGCTGATTGGCAACCCAGAAACAACGACGGTTGGTCTGGGTACTCCTTGCGGCCTTCCTCGAAATAGGTACGGTAAAGCAGCTACAAAACATGACATCACCTGGCTCCATGCCTGGTCACAGCATGCACAATTGCACCTTCAGCGCCTAAGAATGTTAGGCCATGTTAGGCCTAGTAGCCATTTCCTGGTTGAGGTAGATGAGAATCTTGTTGATATACCGGGCTCTGGGAGGCAAGTCTTGGTTTCCTCGTCGTCGACGGGAATACAACGCTCGCCCCTTGGCTGAGGGTTCCGCGGACTCGTCTGGATCTTCAGCGACCTCAGCTTGCAGCAACCCCGAGTGACCTAGGAGCCATACCTTGCCAAAATACTTTCTGAAAGTATGGACATGGAAATGGAATTGGAATGAACTGGACATGAAAGTATGGACATTAAATTCCGACATGGAAATTGGATTCCCTCAAGGCTTCTATGTCTTGAGATTCCTTCGTCAAAGGCGAGGTCTGCTTCCCATGTTATATTTTTCCAGTTTTGGAGCGAGGAGCAGGCCTAAGTGAATGGTGAGTATGGTGAGTGGGATCAAAATCAGGCATCAGTCGCAGTTGCAGCCGAGCCACTTCCTGCAGGAAGCGACTGGTGCGATTCCAAATGACGTCGGAGCCTGTGGCGTTCTCAACCTGGAGAGCAGAATTGACTGTACGTGCTGCAAAAGGAAACAAGTCCTCACTTCTAACATCTGTTGTTGACTATCCTTTGGATACAGTAACCCCTACCAAACGCCCATCGTTCATCTAACTAAGACTGTTTGACACGAGCCCTTACAGAACAAGCTGAGCCCGTTGGGCACAAGTTGATTCCAGTGTATGTGTATTCAACTCATATCATTTTGATGGGCATCTCCTGTACCTGCAGGGCTCCACAGAACAACATGTATCCTTTATATACAGTAAGAATAATTGAACAAGTTGAAGGACAACAAACTTTGACTGCAAATCCAGCAACAGCAGCAGCAAAACCTGTATTGCAGGCCTTGTCCATGGTGTAGTTCGCGTATTGATCCAGGATCGTCAACACTTGGTACTCTTGCACAATAGGCTTCTGGAGAGGAGCCAGAACCTTCTTGAAGTAATTCTTGGTGCTGGTGCTGATGTCCTTGCACCAAGGGTTCAGTTCAGGTTGTGTATGACAACGATCCCTTGAACACGTCAATATGCGGAAAGCGCTGTCCTTGAGCCATTTGTTCTGCCTTCCAGGATCTGCAAATGGGTCGCTTCCGAGGCCTCTCAGCTGCCTGGCGGCGAGTTCGTCTGGTGAAGTCGTACAGAGTTGGCTTGGTGTTTTCGAGTTTTTGACACAGGCACTACTCACTGCTCACTACAGTACCCGAAGTCCACATTTTGAGGATGTGCGGACATGGATCCAATACCATCAGAAAAGTGATGTGATTTTGTCCAGGGTGAGAGACCAGTTGAGCAACCCTTTCTTTTCTCAACAACATGGTTGACTCGTTTTGGGGCTGGACCCCACGACATGTCTCCATCCGCTTTATGCCACAAAGGCCGCACATGTCGACAACAGCCCGAAGCAAGCAAAAGTACAAAACGCACAGAAAACCTGTATGGGTGTGTAAAGTCGCAAGCACTCCTTGAAAGAATTATATACGATCTTTATATATGGAATTCACCATCCACTTCAGTGATTCTTTTCAGACAGTGCAACAGAGTGTAGCATTGGGATCACCTCAAAAAACCTCAATGATCCAAGAGGCCCAGATCCAAAGGCGTTGGAATCGAAAAAGGCTGGCTCAGCGGTCGCCGAAACGATGGTTGCCACCAACATGGAAAAGGCCATGGCGTACGCTTCCTTCAGACCGCGAGTGGATACCGTCCTCCTTTGCGTCCAAAAAGGCTGACCATGAAGACACGAAGAAGCGCAGCAAAACATGATACAAATCGAAGCGAACAAAACGACTTGCAAGTCTCAAAAAGAAACTGCAGTTGCTGCTCTCCAAACAAACGTCTGTCAAGAGTTCCGCAATCATCTTCACACACCCAGTCCAATCCGCTTTTGGTCCTCCAAGGGGAGACTTGTCGCGACCCTGTGAGGTCCCAATGGTCGGAATCGCCCCTGAAAACGAGGACGAAGCCGCCGATGGTCGCAGTCCTCAAAGGGGAGCTCCCATTTGTCTGAGATCATCACTGGGATACACCCAGCAAAGATCACCTGAAAGCGATTGCAAACTGAATTAGGTCTTGTGCCGGCACCAGTCTTCTCCCAAAGCGTGACGTCATGCAAAAATTTGGATTTTCAGTGAGATTCCTTGCCACCCAAAGTCTGCTTTGCGCAAGCCACACGCACCTCAAGATTCCACATTTGCTAAAAGAAAGGTGTCAGCTGCCAGCGGACAATGTGTTGAGCTTGTCACCCCTTCGAGATTCAGACCCAACCCAATCGACTGTGTGACCCCCTGTGGACCAACTCCATTGCATCTGAAAACACGACGTTCGTGTGAGTATCTGTATGTATCTGTGCTTGGTCGACGCGTAAGCCTTGGGTCCCCAGAGTGATTGAAAGGAGAGATCATAAAGCAGGCGGTACACCAAGGAGTCCACTTCTGCCCAAATGTACTGCTTTCACACGGCTTTGTAACGTTTCAGAGTGGTACATCCTAACTGAAGGATTCTGAAGGTAGTGGCATCATTCCCATCTCCACACATGAAGAAGAAGAAGAAGAAGAAGAAGAAGCTACAGTTGCTTCAACCCCACCCAACATCATCCGTGTTGAAGCGCCCTCTCGTGTCAACGACCAAAGAAAGACCTTCCCAGGTCGAGCATCCAAACGCGTGACATTCCAATCATGGAAGTGTGACTTTTCTCGGATATCAATGAACATATTAGTGGGTCCTATAAGATACAAAAGGTTTCTTCCATGAAGATGTTGGTCATATTCATCTCCTTGCAACCCTGAAAAAGAGGCAATGATTGGCTCCCGCCGCTCCCAAAATCATAGTTTTTTCTAAATGCCAGGTCACCTCGAAAAAGCGTAAGGACCACCCAGACTTGCCTGGCACCCGCTTGACCGGTTCAAAGACATGTTGGTGACATACGCAGCTCAAATCCGATCCGAAGTGATAGTTTCTCCATTGTTTCTCTTACCATTTCTTCGACTTCGAACGAATTCTAGGATCTTGATGGGCCATCCGGTGCCATGGGAAAACCCCTTACGAGTATGTGGAATCATCCTTCCTTCGAGTTTTTTGAGGCTTCCTCTCTAGAACCAGGTCCTCCGGTCGAAACATCCTTCAGCGGCCAAACCAACGGCGGAAGCGGAAATCCAACCCCCAAAAATTGGGGGTCGTTGCCGGCCTAGAAGCCCTACCCTACCTCTCAGGCTAGAAGCCTCTGAACCCTGACACTCACAAGTTGGGTGGCCGTGTTTCGCAACCAAAGAGTGATTTAGCTCATTAGCCATCATGTTGAGGTGATGGGCCCGACTACCCCTTGCCTAGGCCACTGGCTCGTCCACCGGCTTGTGAATGTGTTGATCGCACTCGGTGTAAGCTGAACTTCAACATAGATTAAGCCACTTCCTCCTGTCACTTGCATCCATGCGAAAACAGGCGATTTCAGGCCCTCCAGCGGTGAAGAGCTCCCGCACACCACGGTGACCCCAAAACTCGTCGCTGCCGCTTCCACTGGTCGCTCGTTACCCACCAACGGCACCACACAGCACCGAGAAAAACGACTGCCTCGTGGGACGAAGCAAAACTTGGCATCGCCGTAGGCTTCATGCATCACCTAGCAGTGAAGTTGCGGCAGCGTGATGGAGCTCCACAGACTGTGCAATCAAAAATCATGGAAGAAGATATTTGGCTGGATTCGCAAAGATTGATTAACACAGATTACAACATGTTACAACCATTGCTATTAGGTTGAAGGTCATGCCCACAGTATGACGGGGGAGGTCAGGTCGGCCATTAAAAAAAAGCATTAGTCAAGGGTGGCACCACTTGCTCTTCCGGGAAGATTCCCATCTGCGAGCCTCAAGGGTGGCGCCATCCCCGAACTTCATGTCTTCAGTGCCTCTCAGGTGTCTCATCTTCACGGTACGGCTACAGCATGCTTCGGCCATGCAGCATGGTCATCTCGCTGGTGAAGGAACCCGCTTGTGAACACTTGGCGGTGCGGTAGACCCGTACTTACACCAATTGTTTTGTGCATGATACTTAGTTTACGCATGGTTGCACGGGCCGGGCGCGTTCATGGCTACACACTCCAGATGTCCCCGGTCTCGTGGTCTTCTATAGCACTGTGGACCGTATCTGCGGAGGACTCGATAGCAATCTAATTGAAACCCTTGGCCAATCTCCCTGCACATAGCATTTTGAACGGCGCAAGCGAGCTAGGTTGATAGCCTCAGTGACGAGCAATTGCAAGAAAGCTGTGGAACAGAAACACATGCACTAAATGAGTGCCATTAGTGAAGAACACGTCTAAGGGCGGCATGTTCCTAAATATATGCTTGAAAACCATTCAAATCACTACAGATATCCTTTGAGACGTGAATCTTATCTTGCTCCAGTCCAGCAGGCACATGCTCCTTGAACTCATACACGCAAAAACCATGTACAACGAACCAAGATCAATCGATCAGTTTCGCCAATAAGGCATGTATCCATAGGAGAGGTGATTCATACTGTGATTCATGCATTCAAATGACACAGTGATACTAACACAATAGGTTGAAAGGCCAACACATGCATGGCCAATCCTCCGCGAGCCTTCTGGATATTTGATAAGCTTTTCAGCAACCCTCCCTGTGTCCATGCAAGTCGCAAAAGCCGATTTCAAGAAGTGCCCCAGGTCGTTGCCGAAACCAAAGGATCTGCTGTTTCTATAGTCATTGTCATTGATCTATATAATTCCAAAAATATGTTGAACGAGTCTCACTGCTGCCAGGACCTTCCCAGTGGCCTTTTGAGATCCCAGAATGAGGTCACTTAGGTCTTGAAAAAGGTCACTTGCCAATTGTGAAGAGGTCACTGGGCAGGTCCTATATGACATATATATATAGTATAGGTACTAGTATAGGTCTGATGTTGTCTCAACGTCCATGGAGCCTTGGCTTGTGGCTACAATTGTCTCGACCGAGGTCGCAGCTTGAGATGCAGCGGTGCCATTTCGACCCCTGGGCGAAGGGACGGGCGTTCTACATGTTCTACGTGGACATTCCAGTCCTTTTGAGGGATCGTTGATTCGTTGGCGGATAGCCATTCATCTGCATACCCCTCAGTTTACTGGCGAAACGCAGAGTGCCAGTTACTCCAAATCCGCACATGAAAGATCTGCATATATATATATATATATAGTGTCTGTGCTGAAGATGTCCCGACTCGTCTGACTCGTCAGTGAGGGAGCTTCACAGCTCTTATCGAAGCAACACTCACTCTATCAATCGAGATGGCTACATGTCACCCCCTATAAATCTATGAAGAGGTTTTACAATCCCCATGGGGGGTCTTATCAATCAAGAGTCTATACTTGAGAGAGGAAGGGGTGAATGAAAGGTAGCCAACATATGTCAGGGTTGTGTGCGTGAGAGACGGTTGGAAAAGCTGGCGCCCCCCAAAAGGTGAGTCTTGAGGTGGGGGGCCTAAAGGACTAGAAGGGATTTGGTACAAGAAGAGCAGCAGCAGCAGCAGCAGCAAGAGCACCAGCTAGAACAGCAAGGCCAACAGGAAGAGCAGCACCAAGAGCAGTAGTAGAGCAAGAGCAGCAGGAAAAGTAACGGCAAGAGCAAGAGCAAGAGCAGCAAGGGCAAGAGCAGCAGCAGCAGCAGGAGCAGCAAGGGCAACAACAATGTGTTGCTGCTCAGTACAAGACTTGCATCCAAACCAAGGTGTTGCAACCCCCCCAAGAACCTTGTCTCAGAGAGCCAAACTCAATGCACAGTGCAATCTCCAGATTGTAATGTATACATGTTTGCTAAAGCAAGGAAAACTACTGTAAGGATCTGTAAGGTAGCTGAAGCTACCTCGTGATCATGATAGGTATAGTGTTCGGGTGAAATATGGTGAAATCAACACTAGTAAATGCTGATCAAATCCTTGCCTTCTTCAACACGGACACAAAGCCTATGGACGTCCGAGAAATTTGGACCATCTCTGGACGTCCGAACGACGCATCTTACCCACTTGCTAGTGCTGCGCTGTAGAATGCTTCGTTCTTTCACTGTGTTTCCGAATATGGGCTTGGCGTACTCCAGACTTTTCCTTTTCTAGTGTGGAGCTCCTTGGAAAGCCAACAGATCCCATTGGGCGGCACAAACATCACCGGCTGGGCACCAGCACGACACCAAATGTCAGGCCTCTGAGGCTGAGGGTTTGGGTTTTGGGCACCGGCCCAGGGTGAGAAGCAACAGAGATTGATCATCAAACAGTTCAATCATGTTCAATCTCCACATCAACAAATCAAACCCGGACCCCACAAACGTGTATTTAAACTATTTAAATGTATTTGACATAAAAACTCAAAGGCATGGCTCAGCATCCCAAACTCCAAATCAATCAATGCCATGTAAGAAAACACATCTTTTAGAGGGAAACTTGCTAGGCAGAGTCCCTACAAACTATCGTTTACAACTTGTGCGCTCCTCCCTGGGCCTCACTCCCTCCTCTTCCTCCTCTCCGGCCATGTCCCTGCGCCATTCCCTCTGTTGAAAGGCTCTGATTCCTCGGCACCCGGACATCCCTGGCAAAGGAGCGAAACGATATTCTGAGAGAACTTCCTCAGGCAACGAGGCGTGACATGGCATTCCTAGCGCCTAAAATCAACTTGTTGCCTAGTTCATAGGATGTCATATGTATGTGTATACAGTATATATAATGTATATGAATGGGGCCCCACAAACCATCAACAACCTGGATAAACTGGTTTTCCCTTCAAAATAACGTATATGAACACCTATATTTTGCGGTTTTGAGGCCACTGGTATATGTATAATATTATATATATATATTGTATTGATATATATATATATATATTGATATTGATATTGATATATATATAGAGTATATATTGTGGAACAGCTGACAGAGTCGCCAGTATGACTGTAATCTGCTTGTGATGTCCAACGCCTACTATATTAGTTCACTGTTCCCATGTCAGGATACTTTAGGACTTTAGGAAAACACACATGAATGAGACAAATGGACAATAGTTGTTTTGTTGTTTTTTCCACATGCCTTTGTTCATCTTTGTTCCGAAGCCTTGTGAATCGCACTGTGGGTCATTGGTCCTCTGTGGAACCCTGCAAATGGAGCCACGGCTTCAAAATGAAACAAACCACTTTGAAATGTCCCTTACAAAACTGTCAAGTTCCTCTTCAGTTCTTCCTTCAGGAGGCACAAGAATAAAAAAAAGATAACTCATGAAGGGAATTTGCAGTATCATGCTGTATCCATGTTTTTTTCCTGTGCAGCCTCTATCCTTGTGCTGCGTTGGAAGTTTCAGTCCTGCTGTGCATCCGAAGGCCGTACCAAGTTGATCCTCACCGCATCGGACACGTGCCACACAGGACTCCGACACAAACCACTGCCTTGGTCAACTTGGGAACAGTTGCGAAATTTATCTAATTCAATGTGCCCCATATCGAAATTGGTTTTTGCTTGAGTCACAGCCCTCAGACCTCAAAAATCTTGGCTGTGGGTGGAGTCGTTCGAACTCGGAGGCTGTCACTATAGAAGTATTTGCGCACATCCTGGGAAGCACACAATTTGTCATGCCCACAAGGGTGGGGAACGCGCCACAAAACAAAACATGTTCCAAGTTCCCCCCTTCCTCTGCCTTGCGCCATATCAACCCACCAACTTCTGTATACTTCTGTGAAGGCAACAAAGCTCTATGCACATTGATTGTGTAATATCCTCGGGGTTCCCAATGAGTGTGGTCAGCCCTCAAAGAGTACATACAATACTGCTTCTTGTCAATAGTATGCAGCCTCAAAAAGTCGATGACACCCCATGAGCAAGCTTTGGAAATCGTCGGCAGAGACACGATAGAAAGTGGTTACAGAGACACGTCAGCTGTCGAACCGAAGCTGTAGTCCATGTTGAGTCGTCCTACCCTCGACATGGCATCGCAGAAGTTGCTGCGCAGCAAAGGTGCCCCATCACATGGCGTCTGTTCTTCAATGTGCCTCATCATATTCATCAGTTGCGACAATCATAATCATGCACGCTTTGGACGGTTCGATGGCGTTCGATGGCGGACACGATGGCGGACACTGAAATTATGGCCGTAGACAAATTCAGTTACGGTGCCTACGCAAAAGGCATACCATGGCGAAGACGAGCATCCCACGTTGTAGTCCTTGGGACACAATCACCCTCCGCCGCACCTCAGGCGAACTTCACAGGCGGCATCACCCAAGAGGTGTAGGCCTTGGTAGTTGGATCGCTCGACAGGTGTTCGGTGTTCGGTGTTCGTGGCCAATAACTGGGCTGTGGCCATTCCCCATCGAGGTCATTGTTCAATTATTCAACCAATATATAAATATATATCCAATATAGATGGATATAGATAGATGGACTCCTATGTCAGATGGTCTAAGAGTCTGCTGGTATGATATGGGTCATTTAAAGGTTATAAAAAGGTTCCACAAGCGCTATGCACTGAGGGGGGTTGAAACAACAATGAGGCGCCTCCATGGGATACGAACCTTTATCACACGATCGTGAACATACTATCATATCATACAGTACTGCAAATTGTAACAATCAACAATCACACCCTGTACTTGTGTTTCCCTCTTTTCCTTTAGGTTGTCTTATAGTATCTCGCATATGTTCACGCAGCGTGCTAATGGATTCTTGAATTCTGCCATCTGTTTCTGAGTCCTAGGCCCTAATCAAGTTAGCTTTCTCGCAATCTATAGTCTAGTTCATCCCCTTTCAACACCTAAGAAGTGAAATAGGTGAAGCCTTTGTTCCCTCATCTTTCCCATACTCAGTGTCTGCCGAGTCCAGAACACAGGAACTTTCGGATCTGCTTCTCCAGTTCCAGGCGCCTAAGTTGAACAAGGCTTCGAAAAAGCCTAGGGCCTAGAATTGGCGGAGTCGGGTTGAGTGGTTACGCAGTGGCCAGCTACCACTTCACTTGGTGAAGCCCTTCAAACCTGGCTCGAATATATCTCAGAAATCAAGGAGAAGAGTGCGCCGGTTCCCGTGACGCGCACCCTTCACTCCGTGGCCACTCGCGTGGTCCGATCCGAGGGGCGATTGGCTTCCTTCCTGCCACATCTCCCGCTTGGCACGGTCCAAGAGTCGCTCCGCCTCATGCAGGATGAGGAATGATTCAAATGGGGTTGAACAAAGAGGCCAAGAAACCGAACTCCAAAGAATTGCATCTTGAAGATGCACCAAAGCCATGCTGAGTAGGCAGGGCCCTACACCTCCATGTCCATCTCTCACAACTGGCCTCCCGTTCGCGGGAGTGCAAGCCGCTCTGGTCTGCAGGCAGGGACCAATACCTTGCAGTTCACAGGTTTGGTGGAGCTGGAGTGGAGAGGCTAACTTCAAGACCAGAATAAATCTTCCTGCCAAACGGTTGTGTCCAAGGGGGCCAGCCTAAACTCTTGAGGATCTGTCAAATGATCTATGGCTATATGTATACATAGCTGATACATTCCTATAAGGTCCTATAATTATGGCCAAACCACAATAGCTTCACTGGTGGACCATCTGAACATTCGCACTTCTACTCACAGAGTCCGGATTTCAGGAAGTGGCCCTCTCTTCATGGCGTTCTCCATCTCCTGCGCAGATTGAACGTCTTGAAAAACCCGGAAATCAGAATTCCGGAAGTGCGGCAGATCTCCTTCGTTTTCACAGCCCGTTTTCAGTTTCGCAGGGCCATCTGCGCCCTGTCCCTACCAATGCCTTCGTGCCCACATCAATATGTTGTCTTGGTGGTCGAGACAGTCTGGGTAAGTGATGTCAAACCACAATCTATAATTCCTTAAAGTCTCATGTTGTTTCTTGAGTGTTCCATCATCACCTGAGACACGCACCAGTATAAACATGTATAAACTAATTGAAATGCCTGTTACCTGTTGGCATGGCTCCTCTCATGGTCTCTTCCCAACACCATCCAAATAATCCAGCTTCCACTATGCACCTCCATCCAACTCCCCACTGTCCATGGCTCCTCCCGAGTGGGTCGCCAGTGGGGTGCGCTGCGACCCAGCGTCTCCCAAAGCTGGGCACAGCTGGCGTTCAGCGCACGGCCAGCACATTGGGCTCGCCTGGGGTTCGATGGAAATCCGATCCCGGCAATCCGAATCCACAAGCTCCCCTGTGCCTGGCTCTGACATCTGCCTCCCACTGTATTTGACAGCAGGTTTTTGGAGAATAGATCTTCCATCCACCTACCCTGCAAGTCTTGATCTGGGACATCCAATCTCTTTGCGTGGAGCTCGTGTCTCTCTTCTCAAAGCGCTGTTGTTCGGGACACCCCTGGCTTTTTCCCAAAGAAGCAAGGCGGGTGGTAGAAGTTCTGCCAGGCCACAAAATGCCAGGAAGCATCGGAAAGGCTTCTCCGCGGGCATCCAGCAAATCAGCCTTTTGCAAGAGCGAAACCGGATTTCCGCCCCAATACGGGGCATTCGGAGACCTTTATGCGTAAGGACTGCGCAATGTTGACCATATCTCCAGACTTGGGTGGCACTTTTAGATATTCCACCGATTTGGGGCTCTCAAATCTAATTACTCAGGAGACTTGTAATCTAAACGAGATCATTCTGAGCGATAGCACTTGTCTACTGAAAAATATGCCGCCAAAAGTTCGCTGGCAGAAGCCCTCTCTTTCTCTTCAGCACCAAAAGCAAAACAACTACTAGTATTCCTAACATGAGTACCTTGATTATATAAGTGATTAAGGCTGGCATTGAATGTAAAACATCCATAAACATCATCCATTGATTCCCAATGACACAGAATATACCCATGGCACTATGGGCGGGGGATTACTTGCATGCAAATTCATAGATATAACATCGTAAAATTGTGATCCGCCCTCTTGAGGTGTGAAACGATCTCCATAACTTAGACATGAGCATAGCGGATCTTTGTATAATTGGCTATCAGAAGTATCGAACTGTGTTTGATGCACTTATTCATAAGCCAAAAAATACAACGGCATGGAAATCTTGTTCAAGCATCATTGCAAGCATGATTTCACTGTAAAATCAGGAAACAACCCCTGGCACCTCAAGACGTGCTACCAGAAACGTTTTATACATGTATATAATATACAGTAATATAATTTATGTAATTAGTCACCGCCATGCATCTCATATATGTCATATTCTTTCAGTGGGAAAATGCAACGGGGACCACAGAATCCAACCAAGCTGCGACAATAGAAAGTAAGGACAAACTACTAGGAGCAAGGACGCTACTAGGGGCTCCTGGCCTTACTACTAGGAGCAAGGACGCGATTAGGTTGGAGGCCAAGCTGCGACAATAGAAAGTAAGGGCGACGATGTGTTTGCACCTGGTCGCTCGACTTGCCGATGTCGCGATGTGGAGCGCGTCAAGGAATGAGTCGTGGTGGGTCGGTTCATCGTGGCAGGTGGTATGGAGCAGTGGTGCAACTCCTGCCCTTCAACTGGTCCAAACAACAATGACTTGTTCGACTTGGTGGTGCACCCTGGTTGTTGAGCTCAAAAATATCTTTGACATGTTCGTGAATGAAGAATGGTGAGGAGACTGGGGTACCTATCCCCTCGTAGAAAGAGAGCAAGGGCCTTATGATACGTACAGGGAAACCACTCAACATCCCGCGAAAGAACGGGCCTCTTTCTTTCACGAAAAGGGGCATCTCCGCATCTCCGGCGTCTACCGCCTCCCCCCCAAGCAAGCTTGTGACAAGTGTCTTCCAAACTGTATCTTTGACAAATATATCACACGTACATCGGAGATCATCGGAGCAACACTTAAAAGCAAATCACAAAGCAATCAAAAGAAGGCGCTTCCCATCATGTTCGATTGGGGAGACTTCTCCCGAACGCCCCACAACAATTGGCCGCCGTCAGAGCCTGGGACCTCCAGCTTCAAGAGCTCCACAGCCTCCTCCTGTGAAGCCAGGCCTGGGCCCGTGGAAAATATCTGGTGTGTCTGTGTGTGGGTGTGTCTCTGTCTGTAAGGAATAGTTGGCAACTGGGCAAGACTCTGAAGTGGCTTGCAAACATGCTGAAACCTGAAAATGGCAGTTCATTGGCCTTTTGGTTGGGCGATTTTGAACTGTGAACAGGAATTGTTTGCTTGGTCCGATGAAGAACGAGGGCTTGCGCAGGTGTGTGTTGTAGACCTTTGACTCATAAACAAACCACTCCAGGCGCACCAAAGAATTTGGACGTCTTCAGAATAGGGTCCAAGGATCGACTTATATACTAACTTCCATCAGTTTGAAACCGTGGAATCCTACAGTCCCGAGAACCTGTTCTGTGCGATCACAGTTAGGGCTGCAGGGTTGTCCCTCAAACAATTCCAGAACGGCTTGAAATCTGACTGGACCTCTAGAGAATTAGAAAGCAAAGCTGACCAGCAATTACCTCTCAAGGGCAGGAATTTCCAGAAGACACGTCACGAGTTCCACGTGAACCATTTCCGGCAATGAAGATCAAGGAATCATAGATCGCACAATTGCTTGAAGAGGGAGTCAATATGATTCAATACCCTAGTAGGGATCCTGACAAGAAATACTTCCTTATGCAGGTGTTTGGACCGGGCACCAACCACAAAGATCACCAAGACCTTCGATGACCTCAGCAGGCAGAATTCGGACCCACTGACGGATGGTGCGCCCCAACCGCCCCCGAGCATAGCGAGCGGCGATCATCCAGGAGGACCTGCGCGTGTCTGAGGGTTTTGCATCAATAGCCATCATGACCGGTATACCTTGATCAGATATGATCATTTATGCAATTCTCGATGGTGGTGACCATGACTATACAATGACTTACTGCCGTGGGAGTTGTGACAAACTGTTGCGCTGGCTTCCAGAAAAGTGTCCGCAAAAGAGTGCAACAACAAGCGGCCACAGCACCAGCTCGGCTAATTGCCAAAATTCACAGGGCCTATGTGTGGCTCATGTTACCCACAATTGGCTGATCACTGCCATCAACCTCTAAAAACCTCAGAGTCGATCTGTCTTGAAATCTGACCTGTCAACAGTGGTCCGAATCCAGGGACCCACAGAACGTGCAGCGGTGCTTCTTGTGAAGATGTGGAAAATATACCTCCCAGGCAACGTCCCCCCTTAAAAGAAGGGAAATAGACCAGTCTACCCAGCCAGGGTCCAGATTTCAGGGGTCTCCCGGATTTAACATACGCACCCATGTCCTGCACAGGTCCCTCCGTCCGCTGCACGACCGCGGCTTCGCGTTTTCGCCACGCCGGCCTGTAGCTCGGCATCTCCCGCTGTTGTCGTGGGCCCCTGTCGACATGCGGTGGGGTTCACCAGGCTGCTGCCAATTCTTTGCAGGTCCCGTTCAGCCACCCTACTGTTGCAAAAAAGTCTCCCGATGCAGCCCGACATACCTATATCTCGAAAGTATTAAGAAACATTCAGAAACATATCCACTGCCACCAAACAAAAGGATATTGGTACATCCCACGACTGGTGCAGCTTGTCATCTCGTCCTGCAACACCATCACTGAGCTGCTGAAGTTTGCACTCGACGCAGTCAACCCACCTCGCACAAGGCTTCCAGGGCCCTCAACACGCGGTCCTTTCGACCAGAGAAGAGGTCAGGCGCGCTGTACCTGGACATGAGACGGTGACAAAGAATATCTAAGCCTGTCTAGCTTCCATGGCCCCTCCTAGGGTTTAGAACGTGTACCTCCTCTTCCAAGGTGGCTATGTTAGCTCTGCAGCAGTGTATACAACATAGTACTCTTTAACGTCTGTCAAGCAGGTGAGGCAGTGTTGATCTGCAAACCTCCGTCAGTGTCATCTAACTGAGATCCTCCGGCCATCTGGCTCCTGGCCTCCCCCCTTTGGCCATCTCCGCAGATCGCAGTAGAGACTGATCTTGCATGTGGTACAGCCCTGAAATCGGCACAGCATCGGCACATCGATGCGCTTTTGCGGCAGCCCCTCGAGTCTTCTCTCCATAAAATTTCTGAACACCATGATCTCACGGATGGGTTGCCTTTTGTCTTGGACACACATTTCCAAGAAGCAAATTTGAAGCGCAATATGAGTGGTCAAATGCCAACGTCACTCGTGGCGAAGCTGATAACTGACAAATAACAGGGTAAGTGTATATATATATATATATTGTATTATAGATATTAAATATCACAATACCAAATCCAAGGCAACAACTCTGACTTGGCAGTGACAACACCTAGCTTTGCAGAGTTCAATCATCATCATGCAGCTGTACCGTGGGCAAATACGTTTCGGAAACTGATTGTCCAGTTCGTGACACGCGAAGCCTATAGCCAATTCCACCGACTTGCCACGGGCCTTTCGCTTTTTTGGTCTTGCTACTAGTAGCGTCCTTGCTGCTAGAGTCCTAGAGCCCCTAGTAGCTTCATGTTCCTGATTCACATTTTGGGACCACTCTTCGCCGAACATGTCGCAATGTTCATGCTGCTTGTTCTAAACAAATCTCAGCTCCGACTCCCGGTGAGGAACCACACGCTGAGCGCTGAAGTGACCGCAAAAAAAAAAGAAAGACCTTGCTGTTCGCAGGATCCAGGTTGCTTCTTGGTCACATCCTGTCACAGAATTTCTTGCTGGTTAAAGCATGTCAAAGTGGTTGATGGATGTTGATGGGTTGAACTCGGTTGAACATCAAGAAATGGTCTTCAATCCCCAAAAGGACGTTCGGGGGCTAAAGGACGTACTTGCCCACGGGGCGAGAAGCACCGGGTGGAACCATCCCACCTGGTTGGCCATAGAGCTCCAGCAAGCCACAGCCAGGCTTCAGCTCTACGGTGATCACACCCTGCGGATTGGGTCAAAACCCGGAGCCACAGTTGACTCTGGTGTACTCTGGCAGGTTGACCTCCGTCACCATTCTGTTCATTTTCAGTGGTCCAGGTCCCCCGGTGCGATGACCCACATGGTCAAAGAGGGGATCGTCGAAGCCATACGAAAATCTGCGCTTGAACTGGAAGGTAAAAGTTGCTATGGGCAAACGCATGGTATTCCGCCTCCGGCACGGCGTCCATCACACGCAGGCAGGAGACCACCTGTGGACCGTGTATTCAGACACGGTGCTGCAGCATCAGTGTGCATCGATGTCGACTCGGAGAGCTCCCCGAAATCCTTCTGTGTACCTTGTTTCGGGATTTTGATTGTACAACTCCTACTTGTTGAAAGTTGCAAATGCTGACTCCAACAGGTTTCAGCAAATCGTATCATTGAACTCTGAGCACACATGATGACCGATCAACGAGGAATCCAGAAGCTGCTTCCTTGTTGATAAAAATGCCAGAATCATTGGACGAATCAAGCAAGCACTGGGCACAATGTTGTGCACTGGAAACGCTTTGACCATGTGCCCATCCATAGAATCACACGCCACTCATAGGCGACAGTCAATGGGTGAGTAGGGTGGGACACTGTGAGTCTCACTGAACTGAACAAAGTAACTCTGACTGAACTCATCCCCACCTTGTCGCTGGCTCCCAAGGCTTCAACCTCAACAAGCCAGAGATTTGCTTGATTGGCGCTGGGGCGCTCAGGGACTTGTGCAATCTATCTATCTATCTGTCTGTCTGTCTATATATAGTGTAAAACATTAGAACATTAGACCCTCCAGACTCCAAACTTTCTAGGAGAACATAGATCCTGCGGTTGATGATCTACTTGCAACAAAGGTATATACAGTAACACTCTCTCCAGCGCAATGTCACATGATCGGTTGGGGTCACAACATGGGTCTGCACATGTCTGCACCACATGGAGCATGTATACTGTATACCTGTGGGTCTAAACTTACTCCTGAGATCCAAAAGGCAGAATCTAGTTCTAGTAAGTGCTGGTCTGATCATTTGAGTTGTGTGTTCAATTTCTGGGAGGCTGGGGTGAGTATGGTGACGATGTCCAAAAAATGTATTATACAAAGGAGGCACTGAAACTCAATGCTTTGCATCTTGTAAATCCATCCATATATTAACTATATATGACACACACACACAACGTGTGATATGGAATAGTCCCAACACCTGTTAAAACAAATGAACCTGCATTGGGAACCTTGGGCATCTCACTCATCCTCGACGGTTGTGGTTGTTCAGCGATTTCACCCTGCAGCTCGGTCTCCCAACCGTGGATCGGTGCAGCCGCAGAACCTCCAGTTCGGTGATATGCGGATAGACCAGTCTACCAAAACACAAGCTAATTTGTACTGGGCATACATCCATGTGTCTGATTTAGACAAACATGGGTGGTGGATGGTGGTGGCCTGTCAAGGCCAATTTTCGAAGAGGGTGGCTGCCCTGACAAGTGTGATGGGTCAGTGGGACACACAATGTTCTACGGAAACCATGGGGATGTCTCTCCTGCCTACGAAACCAGTGTTTGGAAGGCAATACCCATGAAAACAGTTCTTATCCGCCGACCCCGGCCTATAGCCAAAGCCTAGGCGGGGAGGCGCCTGGGACACCGCAGGGTGAAGCAGTTGGCCAAGCCTAGCAGAACCCTTCAAGCACTTCCAAAGGCCTGTCCGAGGCCTCGCCAGCTGGCAGGCCTGCTGCGGCCTCTCTGTGGCCTGTCCGAGGCCTGCCTCCTCTCTCGGCAGCTGGCAGGCCTGTTGCGGCCTCTCTGTGGCCTGTCCGAAGCCTGCCTCCTCTCTTCTTATGGGCTTCCGAAGGCGACGTTA